TCTATACTGTTAGTTCGAGTGTTAAGTCATGCAGGCCTGTTGGTATAACAGACCCCTTTTGGAAGAAGTATGTTTGGAGGGGAACGGTGCCTCCTAGAGTGGAGGTCTTCTTGTGGCAGGTCGTGCACCAAAGATTGCCAGTTAAAGTTGAGCTAAAGAGGATAGGAGTTTCAACTATTGAGGATGTTGCTTGCCCCTTTTGCGGAGAGGCGGATGAAACCTCAGCACATTTATTCTTTTCTTGCTCGGTGGTGTGGTCCTTATGGAATAAATTTTTGTTTTCTGGGGAGTTTCCTCAGTTTTTCAAGACAATGCTCACAGCTTTATGGTCGCTTGGGATGAATTGGTACCTAATTCGAAAATTTGGTCCTTCATTCCGGGGGTGGTTTTATGGACAATGTGGAAGGGTAGGAATGCAATTGTGTTCGAGGGGGGGAAGGTAGATCAGATTGATTTATTCTTTTTGGCAAGGTGTAGACTGGCGGCTTGGTTCTTAGCTTACTACAAGGCTGTATCTATCCCTAAGGACTCTCTTATTTGTGACCCTTCACTTGGGGATTGCTGCTCCTTATTAAGCTCTCCTATTATCAAAACTGTGTCCTGGTCTAAACCTCCAGAAGGATTTATTAAGATGAATGGATGCGGCTGTGACTGAAGATTGGAGGAAGAGTGGTGTTGGGGGCATTCTTAGAGATCATGATGGTTCGGTGGTGGGCTCTTTTCAAGAGGCTGCTGGTCCAGGTCCACCTGTTTTGTTAGAACTCAAGGCAATTATGAAAGGGTTATCTTTCTTTGACTCGATCCAGCAGCGGTTTAAGGAAAGGTTAATTGTTGAATCAGACAGTAAATTAGCAGTGGATTGGGTCAAGAACATCGACCGTTGTCCCTATGTTTACTTAGACATTGTGACAGCTATTGTTGGCAAGGTTAATGGACTGAATAGTAGTATTAGATGGGTTGCTAGGTCTGCCAATGTTGAGGCTGACAGTTTAGCTAAGGCTGGTATTGGATAGATCTCTGGGTTTTTAGTTGGGTTTCTATTAGGTTTTGGGTTGCTTATTTGAATTATAGATTGTATGGTTGTTTTAACTCTTTGTAACTTGTGGTTATCAATGAATTAATGAGGCACTCTTTTCCTCCTTCCGCTGATTAAGGAGCACCTTGTGATCCGTTAATCATGAAGGGGGTTTTTAAAGAGGCCTACCTTTCCTATCAAAAAAGATAGAACTTGTAACAAGTGCCATCCAAAATTAGTTTTGCATTTCACAACTTTGTTTAAAGGTGCACTAAAAGCAGCTTCCTCAAATTCTGGCACCTACTATGTTTACCATGAAAAAGAAAGATCCAAGAAACATTTGCAATTAAATTGTCAATCTTTCTCTTCTTGTCTACATTGTAGATAACATAAAAGAAAATAAACATATTTCATAAAACTAATAAATATATTCCAAAAAGAAAAAAGAATTAAATCCTACATGCCTTAACTTTTCAATGAGGATATTGATTAAACTTAAACAAAATCAGTATAACAAAAAGGGATAAAATGCATAGAACGCCAGCAAAGTATAATGAGGGTGAAATCTAAAAATAACCACGAATATTGTAAGGAAGATTTCTTGGTTTGTAGGTGATGCTTTCACATGCATAAGAAACATCTGATGCACGTGCGATATCTAGCATATGGACCGTTAAATATGCCCTCACAAGAATAACACTTCAGGATCTAAAGGAACTTGGAAGCTTATGGAAACTGCAAGCAAATGGCAAAGCCCAAGAAGTACCATAAATGGGAGATATTGCGTAAAAATTTATATCAACACGTCATATTTTAGAACTCAAATAATAATTCATTTTCCCACAAATGCACAAATAGTCAATTATCAGAATGGTTAACTCCCAAGTTTTTCTAAATTTTAAACTCAATATTGGATAACTTTTTGAATTGGTAAAATCAACTTTATGGCACCATTTTGAAATACATGAGCATAAAAGTTTGATAAAATCTTCAAATTCAAGCACTATGTCATAACTCATATAATTCAAAAATCCAAACTCCCAATAGAACATTGAAAGTTGCTACCACAAATTTAATACCAACTAGCTAAGATTGTCTCTTGCACAGGTTCGAACCCTCAAAACAGCCATCTGTTGAAAACAGGGAGAAAGGGTATGTGCATCAAGACCTTGCTTATAGTGGGAGCATTGTGCACTGGGTACAAAAAAAAAATTAGCATTAAACTTTTCTAAAATTTTCCACAAATTTGGAGCCTTGGAGGTTTGTTCCTCCATATCCATGCTTAAAGACACTTCAAGAAAAAGAAAGAGTTGAAACAAAATAGAAGATTCTTAGTATATTTTTAACTCTTCAAAGGATAAATGCATATAAAAAAGAAGGGAAAAGAAGTAGAATCAGCCTACCATTTGCCCCTTTCTTACCCATCCAAGCATTCCTCCCTCTTGCTTGGACGGACATAGTGAGTATTCCACAGCAAGATCACCTAAATCCTCCCCTTCAGCAAACAAATAACAAAAAAAAAAACCAAAGTTAAATTACTTGTGACAGTTAAACATAACACAAGCAACATCAAAATTGATTTTAATCTATGCTCTATTTTGTTGTTGCCTTAAGCATTTAATTTCCTCTTCCTAGAAAGATGCTACAAAGTAAATGTTATAAAGTTGAATAAAAATGACCATTTGACCAAATACAAGACCAGTTCCAATACAATTATCTTATAAAAAGAAAAATCATCTATTGATTTGAATTTATGTAAAAGAAAACCAATTCCTTAAATTTTAAATTTGCATTCTAAGGGATTCAAATGGCCGCCGAAATAGTGATGTGAAGCCAAATCACACCAATAGCAGTGGATCGCGGCTGCAATTTAACAGGTAGCAGCCGCTATTCTAATTTTTTTTTAAAGCAGCTCATTTTTTTAAAAAAATCAACTCCTTTTAAACACATCGCAACCCAAAACTTCGCCACAGCCATAATTTGAATCCCTGTACTATGTTACACTAACAAAACCATAGCACCTTCTTGAGGTAGTAATCAACAAGTCACCAAAATGTGATATTTTAAAAATAACTTTCTCTAAAATCAAATATTCAGCTAATTAAAGTTTGAAAAGAAAAAACCTCCTGCTATTCTCTGTTGAAGCTCCACCAAGAGGTTCTGGTCGTCTTCTTTTAGAAGCAAGTGCTGTACCAATATTTCTCTGCTATCTCCAAAGCTACTCTCGGAGTTAAATGAAGCTAAGAAAGAAAACAATTAGAGCAAAAAGGGGGGGAACGAAAATATGGTTTTAGCCAACCTGATAGTCTGGGTTGTGTATGACCCACCATGGGAGAGACCTGCCTGAGATTAAGAGTTGAAGGATACGGGCGGGAAGGAGCGATGGGTCTGGAGAAGAAAGAGTGGAAAGCAGAAAAAGTGGAGAGTTTGTGGAGAGAATAATAAGGAAAGACGAGTTGGTGAGGATTGGAACCAAAGATTTCCTAAGAGCAACGAAAGTTGTGGGCGATGCTATCGGAGGAAAATGAGCTGCCCTTAACATTTTTCACTCACTGTTACGTGATTCGCTTCCGAAGTTGTTCATGGGTAATTCACCTCGTAGATTGTTCGTTTAATACAAGAATCATCAAGGGGTTTTGGGATAATTGAAAGAGAAATTTGGATTATTTAATCGATGACACTGGCTAGCCCAACTCGTACTGAGAAGTGGATTGACTGAACATCGACTTCTTCATATTGGACTCAAGAAACTGGACTTTGATGGATCTGAAACCCAAAACCTAAACACTTGAAAGTTACGTGCAACATATCTTTATTTTCTTTTTGTTGCCCACTCGGTTTACAGAGTTTTACTCTGACTAATTTAAATCTTTTAATGTAGATTTTTTTTATCTATATAAGAACTTAAACTTAATATCTCTTTAAATGATATCAAATTGCTTACTACACGAATTAATCTCGTTGATGACAATATATAAATGACTTAATATTAAGCTCACGTGAAATTTAAATATGCAAGAATTGAGATTAAATGGATGGTCTAATTTCTTTCTATTAAAAATAATTTCTTTCTATTAAAAATACCAAGGAATGGTTTAAGGTCTATAGATCTTGTATCGTACTCTTCGTTAAGGAATAGAGTCGGACTCTAGCTTTCACTAGATTTGGTGGGATCTCTCATCCAAGAGTCTTTGTTGTCTTTGAGATCATATTGTGACTTGTGTACTAGAGCACTAGCATGTAACTTGTCTGTGTTGAGCAGATCTTAGCGGGAATGATTAGATTGTCAAAAGAATATCACTTATCAAGTGTCGCATGATTTTATAACCGAATTAACTGAGCACAATTCATTGAGAGCAAGATTGATTTAGCTAGGAAAAGTCTTTTTTAAGTATCGTATGACATAACAATCAAGCTGACACGTTATGTCAAGACAAGTAATTAGTTACAAGAGATATGATAAAAAAATTGCCACTAAATCAAACGTTGTTGGCCATAATTTTATAATTTATAAAATCATATTGAACTTGAACTAATTTATACATAAGACATGCATTCATTTTTTTTTTCAGTATTTGAATAACAAATAAAATCCATATCAGGAAGCTTTTCACTTCACATACTTAGCCCCATATCCCATACAAAGCGACAACTTGGGTCTATATTGTATGAGTGTGGTTAGGGTGAGTTGGGAGTCAGACACCATCTTTTCCTCCTTGTATGGGGCTATTCCCATGGCCTTTAAGCTAAATTTCCTTTTAAGTTTAGGATTTGCTTCTGTTCTATCTGCGCACCATGTGCCCTTGTTTTCATGGCTCATCATGGATCCACTCCTAAACAAAAGCTTCTTCATTTTCTGACCCTTTGTTTGTTGTTTTGCAATGGCCACACTTGGCTTGTTTTCATTGCCAACTTTCACTAGCCTCGCACGTCTTGCGAAAATAACACCTTTGGGTTCCGCCATTTTTAATTGCCTTCTCTTTGCCTACTCCTTGCTCTCTAATGTCTTGTCTGAGTTCGGATGGGATCGTTTCGATTGATCCCACAAGTCATCGGTTTGGTTCTTGGCCTGGGATCTGCCAGCTTTCTCTTCCTTGACATTCTTCCAAGCCGCCATGAAGGGATCAAAGTCATCATTCCACAAGCTCCTACGTTGAAACGAAAGTCTTAGGCCACTACTAGGCGACCTAGGGGACGATGATAAACTCGAGCTTTGTTTATGATGATGATATTGAAGTCTTGGCGGAGGCTTCAACGGCATCACTTTCCAATCATTAAACAGTTCATCAGCAAACGCCATGGCGGGAAGCGGTTCCTCTGATTGGGACTTGACCTCGCATTCACCAACATTGAAACGACGACTGGTTTCGAACTCGAACTCGTCATCACCATTGGAGCTTGAATCTTCATATGCAGACTTGAGAGTCCTTTTAGTGGGACTTGTTGGGACACTAAAGAAACACAAACCTCCCACTTCCTGGCTGATTCTCCTGGGGCTAGTAGGTGCACTCATATAGAAACTATCATCTGCCATTTTTATCTTTCAAAACCCTTGGCTTGGGCTTGAAGGAGAAACCCCATAATATATATATAACATGGTCAACAGCTTCCAAATTATACTTCAAAGATTAAAAGACAGATATTAGTAAGATATTGAGGAGAAATTCCGGGTTTATGTCCCCTCCAACAATAGCTAAAGATTACCATTCAAAGTGGAAAACACTTGTTTATTGTCAAGATGTCTGTGTGAGGAATAGTTTATCAGATTGGTGAGTACATAAATATTGTAAAAGACTATGCCTAAGCTTGTTGTTTTGTGAATGATACAAGAGGACCAGATATATTTGTCTTGAGCATAATCCGGTAAAGATGCCTGGGTTTGTAACTTGTATAAAACTTGGGTTATGTAGATGATTGCCAAGGAAATCAAACACTCGGGTCACGGAGTTGGATACAGGTTTTAAATTTGAAATCAATAAACAATATTAATGATTTCAGTCAACCTGAAAACCTGCTCGTGATATGTTCAAAATTATGAATATATATATATGAAGTAGGATCAGCTCATACAATATAATTTTTTTAGTTATCTACCTCATTAAGATCTGAGTTAATTGTAATATAGGTCTTTAAAAATTATGATTATCGATTTAAATCAGTCTATAAACTTTTGAATATTCTAACTATGTCCCTAAATTATGGCTCCTATTTCAAATTGGTCTCCCAACCTTTTGAGTATTCCAAATTTTTCCTCAAACGTCTCATTATATATTGGTTCCCAAACTTTTAAACATTCTAATTTTTTCTCTGAACTTTTTGCATGATTTAGGGGAACTTATGGTAATGTTCAAAAGTTTGAGGGTTAATTTAGAATGAGTGTCATACTTTTGGGAAGAATTTGGAATATTTAAAAGTATGAGGATCAATTTAGAATGTGACTCACGATTTGAGGATAAAATTAGAATATTAAAAAGTTTAGGGACCAATTTAGAATGAGAATCATAATTTAAGGATGTACGGTGCAATTAACTCTTAAGATCGTTGGATGAGTAGAAAAGAAGACTAAAATTAACAGCAGTAAATGAGAATATATTCATAGAAAAAAATGAAATGAGATGATTTCAGCTGTTTATTTCCACTCGTCCAACAATCTTAAAAGAAGATGTAAAACTAATAGTCTTACACTAATCGTAAGTGGCCCCTAACCCTGAATATTAATCACAAAATCAGAACACTAGGGTCAATTTGTTGAATTCCTTGTTCCCTTGGTTTAAGTCGAAGCAAAAGCAGGAATTAGTATTATAGGTCTCATTGGCATTTGGATATTTTTCTCATTGTTGCATATGGAAAGGGCCTATGAAGGTAGATCCATTGCTTGTGGAAGATTGGTTCTCATAAGTTTGCAGGTTCTAAAGGTCCCTCTCTTCTCATCATAACAAAGCTCATCTTTGCATTGATGCAATTTGAACTGTTAAATAAGGTTGATTTGTACGGTTCATGGTATGAAAATAGGAGATTATAGACTGCACCTTGAACATTGCAGTTAGAGAGCTGTAATGTAAATTAGCATATGAAGCAATGTTTGAAATGGAAAGCATATTTTCTGGACCAAGATCAATTCTTCTTGCACCATATATTTCCACCGTCATTGATATATACATTACAATTTAGTTGTAAAAACTGTTAGCATAAGTTTTCAACACAGTTTCAGTTTCCATCCTAGTAATTGGGATACATGTGAAAGCAATCTCTGTACGTGGATGTTGGCTTTTACCGGTGTTTAACATACTGATACAGCCACATTTGAACCACACAAAATAGTACTTAACATAGAAAAAATGGACCAAAGATGAGTAATAAAAGGAAAAAAAGAAAAAGAGGATATATTTTCTTCATATCTTTAACTCCAATGTTGAAGACAAGTCTTTCTAGGTATTGCTTTCTCTCTCCTTATTATTCCAATAAATTTTGTTTCTCTCGTTGTTCTTCTTCCTCTCTCCTTTTCATCAGTAATTTCTATAAGATACATTATTTAAAAATAACCACTATATATGTGATAAAAAAAAATATCCACCCTCTTTTTCTTCTTTATCTTTCATATATCTTCTTTAAGCAAAAAGTATTTGAAACCGTTGTACTTTTGAAAAAAATCAATGCGGTCCTAGAATTATTTATGCACTCAACATGGCCCTCCAACTCATAAAATAAACTCAATATGGACCATTGACTAACGTTTTCAACTGTTGACCATTATGGTGCTAAAGTGGCAATTCACTGCACTGACGTAGTGATCTATGGTGACTGATGACATGACATATGAGCTAAATTGGTTTTTTTGATCTTGTTTAAGGACCAAATTGATTTTTTTAAAGTTTTGGGCCTTATTTAATTTGTTCTAAAAATAAAAATGATTGTTTTTTACAAAAAAAAAATCAAAGAATATAAACGTGACATGTATATCACTTAACAATTTTTTAATGGTCGTTACGGCTTAGACACTTAAAAGTGTAATGGATGCACCTACTTTTAAGAAAAAATACTTTAACCACTTAAAGTTAGCTTAGGGTATAATTAAGTACTTATTTTTGTATTAATCATATACAATATATGTATTATTGTAGTAAATATATTTTTTAATTGAAATGAAATAAGCTAATAACTAATCGATCCAATAATTTGGCCATTCTACCCAACCATCTCCTCACCCTATAGGGCATTTTCTATGAAATTCATATGAATGCTTCGACACAAGTTTCACCATCTTGTCGACCATTCTCCAGAGGTGCATATTGAAACATCAATTTCCACTCCCGATGGCATAGAGCTGAAATGTATGCTATTGCATCAAGGACCGAGCAAACTCCTATGGCTTTGGAAAATCTCATGATCCACTCTAGTAGCATCCCATAATACTCTGCCGCACACTGAATAGTTTCGGAAGATGTGTGAGATAAATTCCACTACCACAGCTAACGGCATCCGATAAATACCAACGAACCCTTTCAGCATGTGTTAGTATATCTTTATTTTTATTTTTGGATAATTCAATTTTATTACCCAAAGAGCAGAACCTGCTTCAAAAACAATCAGAGTTCTGATTACATTAGAACAACCTACTTACAAAAAGAATCAAAGATCAAACTATATCTCAATGCTTACTAAGAGTAGTATTAACACTATCAACTCTGTTTAAATTCCTATTCCTCGATTGTAATCCTACAATATCCTTAATGGCACGGAACAGTTCTTGTGTATTTCGAGATCGGCCTTGAAACAATCTTTTGTTTCTTTCTTCCCACATAATGTAGATAAGAGCATTTAGAGCAATCTTTAAAATCGAAGTGAGCAGAGATTTTCCTTTCCAAGTAGAACATGCCCACGAACAAAGAGATTCCCATGAACGAGATTTATATTACAGGCCATAAAGAGAGAAGATTGAATTCCACAAGTAATCTGCCATAGGACATAAGAGGAACAAATGGTCCCTAGTTTCCAGAGGATCATCACAAAACATGCATTGGCAATCATTGATGAGCCCCATACGGTGAAGTCTATCCTTTGTAGGAAGTCTATCAAGTAAAGCCATCCATGAAATCAAACTATGCTTAGGTATATGCAGAGGGAACCAAATAATTTTCTGCCAGGGAACTAGAGGTCTCTTTTCCCGAATAGCATCCCAAATGATACTCACTTCTTTGATCCAGCTGACATGATAGGGTAGGCCTCATATCTCAATTTAAGGAGTCGTCTTAAGCTACAGCTAAGAGAGGGTTGACGTATTCGATTAGTGTTTATTTTATTATCTTATTGACGTATTCGATTAAAATTTTATAAACTCGACTCGATTCAGGAAAAATTAAATTAAGTTTGACATTAACTCGATTAACTTGAATTTTTTTACTCTATTTAACTCGGTCAAATGCTCACCCCCACCTAAATCAATTCTTGCAAGAAATTTTAAATTGAAATTAAAACCAAAATTTATAAAATTTAAATAGGGATGTAAACTTGATAATTAAAATCAGAATGTATCTTGTGGGACAAAATAATTATAAAATGTGGGAAGTAAAATTAAAAATTAAATTGATTGATTAATTTTTAGTAATGGCTAAAATGTGATTTTATTATTTAATTAAAGGGTTTACTTTTTTTAACAATGATAACTGAAAAATAAAAATAAAAAATAAAAATGATGACAGCTCAATGTGTGAGAACAAAAATCATTCAATGGATAGTCTTTTGAGATTTTCTTTTATCAGTCGCATACAGTGGATGCTGTGGCATCTTCGTTGCTCACTGCACAAAAAAAGTTTGAATGTGAAAGAATTATAGTTAGGTTTCACATATAATTGCTGTCAAGAATCAAGGATAGTCAGAAGGTATAAAGAACACCACTATTGTCAAGGCTCCCAATTGAGTCAGAACAAGTGGAATAGGGATGTATCGTTGTTATTCCAAGATCTATTGGGTAAAGAAACTATAATACATAATATGATCACTAGATGATTTTACTTGACAAATATTATGTGGAGAGATCATTGTTTTCCCAAGTGAATACTTATCTTTCATTATTATCTGTCATTCTCGATGTGTTGGGAACTTCAACAAGTCCAACTTATTTACAAGTGTACTAAGAACTTAAAACAAACTAATACTTAACCGAAAAACTTAGAAAATAAAGCACTTTCATTAATATAAAACACAATTATAATGTAATTATTTTTTTTCTTTTACTCTAAGTTCTCTTTCTATAACGTACTTTTTTTGAAATCTTTTCGCTCTTTTTTCGTCTCTTTTCATCATGGTAAATCTCACCCTTATTTATAGATTTTAGTGGCCATTAAAGTATTTTACATGTCAATATCTTAGCCATTAGTCTTATAAATATTTAAATTCTTTCGTGAATAATTTTTTATATAATATTAAATATTACAATATCTTTATTATTTTTTGAATATTTTAAATATCTTTATTATTAAAGTAGTCTTTTGACAAATGTTTTTCGTCGTTAATTATTACAGTGCTTATAGGACA